CGGGGTTTGCATTGCTTGTCACGTACTCCTTTCTAACTGCTATGTATGAAGGTTCACACAATCCGTCAATATAGAGGTAAAATAAAATAAAACAAAAAGACCACTCAAACCCACGAATCTGAGATCTAGACTGAGATGTGTGTAGAGGTCATCACATAGAGTCTCGGGTTTTTAGGTATGAATCATGAAAGACTGAATAAAATATGAGGGTACTTCGCAATGTACAAACAATAGATAAAGATTGATGAGATGACAGAGTTGCGGAGGCATTCACAAAATTTTCCATTGGTAGAAACAAACTTGCAGTTTTTTTCCTTTTTTTTTGTTTTATATTATGCGATATGTCTCTTTGTAGCTGCGCACACATCTCAGTTGTCCATGGCTCCTCATACACATATGAACCGCCCTGACCCTCGAGTTTCAATCTGCCCAAGGTAGTGGTGACCCGCCCTGCTCCAATCCCTCTCAGAGAGAACGGGCAGAAAACTCTCAATCTACGGATCAGCAATATTCCCTCACCTGCCACTAGCAGCGCTCCCTGCTATGAGTAGCAAATTCCTATTCAACCAATAGGAACTGTCTCTGCTATCAGCCAATAGGAATCAATTGCTGATTTTCTGATTGTGCACTCCCTGATCCTTCTCCGTTTTATTTATTTTTATTTCATTTACCTCTCTGCGCAGTGGTGAGACGCAGGTGCACGTCAGTCTGCGTGTGGTCACTTCCCTTTCATGAGTAGGGATTGTCATACGAATCTGGGGCAGAACACCGACCAGATTCACTCACTCTCTATGGTGGTTGTTGCTAATGTCTGAAAAAATGCTCTCCCTTTTCCCTCTTACTCACATACTCACACGCACATGCCCCATCCCACTCTCATTCTCGCTTGATCACACACGCTGTCGTGAGCTCTCTCGCCCTTCTTCTCTCCTGCAGCCTCATTCCCGCTTCCCAGAGATATTTGAATATACCTGGACGTGGTTGTCACCAGGTTCGTGCAGTTTGCAAACTACCTTACCTTCCTCGCTCAGTCACTCTCCCTTGCCTGTGTTCTTTCTTTTGCTCACTCTTTCATTCTCCTTCTAGCTATGTGTACGGTACACGAGCTCTTCCTGCAGTCACCTTGTAACAGACAGCTCTCTCTCTTGGCTGTCCTCCCTCACTCTCTGCATGGTCTATCCCTCTCTGTGCCTTCTCTTTCTGTTTCCCTCTCTCACATGTATACACACTCAGATTATCATGCGCTTCATTCGCTCTCACCAGTCCATGCTCCTTTGGGCTTGGTCTTCATTACGGCCACGTTCGTTTGACAGTCCTTTTTCATTTGTGAGTGTGTTCCCGTACACGGGCAAGATCAATTGGGTAAATGATTTCGAGTTCTGCAGACTTCTCGTTCGCTGTTCTATGATGCCACAGGCCCGATTGACTCACCATAGGCAGTACTGCAGTAACCTCGAGCATGTTTGGTCGTTGAAGCTCCCTAGCGCGAAGAGACACACACACAAGCGGCCTCCATAGCTGCTGGTTCCCATGGCTTTGATATTGACGTCACCTCCCCTACTGTAATCCCCATGCCAGCAACAACACCTTTAGATAGACCACTGAGCCTAGACACGCTCGCTGTGTTCGCCGTTGTTGCCTGTCCTTCCACTGCCTTCTCTCCGGTCGCCTCAGTCCCGAATCCCCCCTTTCTGGTCTCTCCTCCATAGTTACATAGTCATGGCCGCACCAGCGAGCGGCGTTCACCCCGGTTGCCCACTCTAGCGAGCCCGGTTCACCCTGGTCGCTTCCGCTGTCGAATGTCCCAATCACCCCCGTGAATGTCAACGGCCCTGGCTATATCCGGCTCCCTGCGCCAGGCTCAACCTTCGAGGCGGAGAGGTACCGACCCTTCCGTGCAAGCACCGTGGCTGCAGGCCCTCCATCCGGTACCCAGGGCCTGGCCCGTAGGTCCCGACAGTAGTGGGGCCAATAACCCTTGTCTTTGGGCCTCTCAAATTCACGTGTTCATCATCCTAGGGTCAATACCAGATGAACGATATGAAGTCAGCGGTACCAAACCATTCCTGAACGAGGGTGCCCCGTCCATTCCGTTCCAGCATTAACCCTGAATTTGTCGATGGGGCTACAATAACCTGCACCGTACCAATGCTAGTACCAAGCCAATGTGGGCACCGCACCGTGCAGCGAATGAACCAAGCCAATGCCGAAGCTGAAAATAGCGCAATGGTCCGCACCACACCGATGCCGAACCATTACCAATGCTGGATTACCAAGACGGAACCACGCTGAGTGTCATAGAATGTCGCCACTCCGCAGTAGTACCGAACCTGAACAAACCACCTTAATATGACGTCGTACCTGCCCCAACTGAATACCGTAGAGCATAGCCATACCGGGGTAACACCGAGCCCGTCCCCGAACCTGAAATAAATCGCTGTGATGATACCGACCCTGAAATAAATCGCCGTACCAGTCCCGAACTTGTCAACAAATCATGCCGATGTGTCCGAACCTAAGTAGGCTGATGTACGGGTCCCGAGCCTGGAAATAGACCACCATACTCATTCCGAACCTGAAAATAATTCCGCGGCAGCGGCCACAGCCTTGAAAATAAGTCACCGTAGTGAAACAACTGTCGCCGGCCCCATACCGAACCAGAAGTCCGTCAGATACCATAGGATTCCACCACTCTACATCATACCGAACCTCTCAGATTCATGTACTCGTACCAAGCCAAAAACCATACATATTGTCGGTCCGAAGTAGCACCACCCCATGCTGTCCATGCGACTCCCGCTCTCAGTACATCCCAACTGCGGTAAAGTTAGTAATCAAGCAACCCAGGGAAAGCGACGCAGGGAATCTCGATCATCGGTAGTAGCGAAAACTGTTAGCATCCAGAGAAAATGATCAATCCGGGATTAGAGCTGATGGCGGGTAATCGAGGCGAAATTAGGCCAATCTCACAATAGTCATGGGTTCCCGTCCCTTTCATCGTTTTTAATCATTCTTCGTTTTCCTTAATTCTATTGTCTGAAATAGTAAATTAACCGTAAATTCCCCAAAATTAAAATTTGAGAAAGTTTAAATAAATGGCCGAATTCCTTTTGTTTATTTTTTCTTTTATCATTTTTAATCATTTTTCTATGCTTTCGATTTCATCGCTGGGAACATAAAATAACAGGGGTATTCCCCTAAAATTAAATGTCATGAATAATAAAGAAATTAAGGGATATTATGTTTTTCTCTTCTCCCCTACTGGTCTTAATCCCTTTTCCCCATCTTTAATTATGGTACTAAAATAGACAAAAATTCGAGGCCCCATCTCGGCCCCGGTCGTATGCTGCAAAAACGTTGAGGCGAGGTCAGTTTCTGCGATGCCTCTCCGCGGCAGGCCAATTCGGGTCTACGCCTCAGAACGGCCGGATATGACGGTCCCTAGATGTGCCAAGTGCGGCCACGCATTTCGCTATCTTTGAGGGTTACTCGTAAGGTTCAGTGCGCCTTAAATCAAGGGTGCCCTGAGCTCCCCTAACTTCTGCTGCCTGGTCTTACCAGAGTACTGTCAAAACACGGACTTGTCCCTGAGCCTAAGCCCCAAA